AATTGTTTTATTTTTATCAAATATTGTTTCATTACAGAATTTATTTCAACATTTTTATTTCTTGTCACGATTGTTTCCGAATAATTCAATTTCTAGTCTAGACGGTTTCTGAGTTATTTTAAAATGCAATTTGGTAGATAATTTCTCGTCTATTTAATCAAATTAAAATGTTTAAATGCACATATTTATTGAGCAAATGTACATGTTTTTACTTGGGCTAAGTTGAAAAAACAATTTCAATAAAAAAACGCAATCCGATTTTATTACGCCTAAAGGGGACGTTTTTATTACATTAATTTTAGTCAAAACAGACTAAAATTACTGAAAACTCAAACGATACACGATAATAAGAATTACATAAGCAAACCATACATGATAATGATAATAACAGTACATAGTAAAATGATACACTTATTTGATTCTTCATAGTGCCTTCCTATCATCGTCTTCAGTTTAGCTTTCACTTCAGAATCTTCACTTTTAGCATTCACTTCACTTCTCCTTTCCAATAACTGATTAATTTTTTCAGCTGCACCATCAGCAATAGGCTTCATTAACTTAAGTATTTCCCCTATCTGATCAATTTTTTCCCCAACTTATCAAAATCACATCCCCATATTTTTTCACTTGAACCTTCAGATTTTTCCATAATAAAGCTTTTTCTAATTTCTCACTTTTTAACTATTTTACACTATTATATCAAACCATATTTATAGTAGAAGCTGAACAATTGGCAAGGACTTGGATAGAATAATTCCGTCTCATAACCTTAATTCCGCTGCAATACGCAATAGGCACGGAATAATCCCTGCCAAATCTGAGCCAAGCCCGGTCTGACTTAATAATCACTGTCTGCACAGTGTTTCAGACGACTTTTCAGATTGGCTCGGATTATTCAAAATTTAAATTATTCTTCCCCCGCGCGTTTCTTTTCGCACAATTGGGACGGATTTGTCCGAGCCAACTCGCAGCCAAGAGCGAACACTAATCCGGAAGAGTCTAAACGGTTTTGGCGGTCCTATTGCAACGGATTTATCCGAGCCAACGCCGGAAGTATATAAACTGTCCTTAGTGCATTTCGTGCAAACCCTAGCCCATTCTTCAGCATCCCCCTTTCCACCGCTCTGTACATACCGCATACCGCATACCACCGCCTACTCCGGCTACCTACTCCGGTCACTACTTGCTCTGCCTCCCCTCTGTTTCAAGCCGCCTCCGAAGCTTGCTGTGTTTCAAGCCACTCCGACGTTTGCAGTGTTTCAAGCCGCTGCGACGCTTGCAGACGCTTTCAGCCGGCCATCGTCTTCTCTCTATTTGCAAGTATTTTTAAAATACTTTATTAGTTACGGTTTTTCAGCTTAACTGTTATAAATATATGTTATTTTTAAATAAACTGATTATGTATAATAAATGAAGTATTATAATCTAGAAACGAAGTATTTTTAAATACTTTATTGTATTGTTTACATTTTTTATTAGAAGCGTAGTATTATAGGCACCTTAAAATATGTTACTAGTATCTATAAATTTATAAACGGATTATTTATAAACGAAGTATATAAATTCTTAAATTCGTAATTTTATATACGAATGCAAGTATAATTGTTAAGTTGGTTATAACCTATTTTTTTCATATTACTAGGTGTAACCTAATTTTTTCAAACGAATTTCATATTTTTTTGATATTATTTGGTTATAACCTATTTTTTTCACTGGTCACTTTCTATAATATTGCTATTAGTTTCAATAAAATGTCCGCTCGTAGAGGTTCATTCACTTCGTTTACTTCCTCCCGCGGAGGTCGTGGAGGTAGAGGTAGCCCACCCATTGTCCAGAATGAGCAGAACTCTCCTCTAGGTGATTCGCATGAGTGTGTCCAATCCCGAAACCCTACTGATGAACATTTAAGTGGTTTTGATTCTTCGACCCCCGATGAATCTGTTCAGCAAAAGACTTTCATTTCACCCTTTGAAATGAGAAGGTAATGTAAAACAGCATTAGGCAATTTTTATATAATAAATTCCTATAATAAATTCCTATCTATACATTACTTATATGTGCTTTTATGATGTAGCAATCCTACTATCCTCAACAACATCATTTCAATCCCGACTAACAATTTCCGTGGGCCATGGCGTTCTTATATGCATGCGGACGCTGATCAATGCTACCGTTGGTGGAAACTGTTTCAGGTATGTTATAGGTACTTACTTTTAGTTTTTATTTGACAGATTGTGAGTTATGATGTTGATTAAGTCTTTTTTGAGTTTTCAGAGAAAGTATGAGTGAGATGCCTGCTTTGATACCAAAATGAAAAAGAAGTTCAAGTCTCGGGCCTCTGAATTGTTAAGCAAAATTATTGGCAGAGCTAGACGGGACAACAAGAAGCCGGACTGGATTGGAGATGGAGATTGGAAGGTGTTGCAAGAATATTGGGCCTCTGACGCTTTTAAGAAAAAGAGCCATGTTGGAAAGAAGAATAGGAACTCTAAAGCGGGGAAGGAATCACAATATCGCGGTGACAGGATACCGGTGACTATGCATGTTGAAAGGCTGGTGAGTTTAATTGAACTATATTGAATTGCATTTTACCTTTTAATGAACTCCTAACTTTAATTCTCTAGACGAAGGAGTTGAATAGGCCCCCCTTGAAGATTGAAGTGTTTGAAGGGGTTTATGCAGTCCCGAAATCGGGTGAACCCCCAACACGTGTAGTTGAAACCAAGGTAAATTATATATATCAGTTTGTTTTCATATTACTATATATAAAGAGTATATGTCTTAGTAATCTAGAATGAATATATTTGAACCTCCTGTCTTGTGACTGTGCAGCAAAAATACAATGAGATGAAAGCCCAAGCTGAATCGCAAGGGAAGTCTTACGAAGAGGATGATTCTGAGCTGTTTTGCGCGGTGGTCCCGCTGTACAAAGGCAGGCGGTTTGGGACGGGATCTGAAGCTGAAGCAATGTCTGACCTTGAATGTACCAGCAGGATATCGGGGCCGACTCAGATGGAAATTGATTCCCGCATCAAGGACTAGCTGGAAGCCCATTTTGCGCAGCAGGAAAAGCAGTGGCAAACTCAGATGGCGAACATGACTTTTGCGTTTACGGCGTACATGGAGCAAGTGCGAAGCTCGAACCCTTCTATCCCGCTACCTGATTTCTCATCTTTTCGTACCCCGACCTCCGCCCAAATGAATGGGCTACATGATTCGAATGAAGTGCGGTTTTCTGATCTATTTGTGTAATGAACAAACTGTTTAAATTTCTGTACTTGTTCTGGACATCTTCTAGCAATTTATTTGCCATTTCTATTTCTATTTTGGCAGTGGTTTATCTGCTTGGACTGCTGTAACATAATAATGTTCTGTTAATTTGTGCTCTTTCATTTGCTCTATAATGTTTATCTTTCATTTGCTCTATATGATTCCAGTTAAATGTTTTGTTTATAATGATTTGAAAATAAAAAACTGTACACCGTACATATGTACGGTATTCCGTACATATGTACGATGTATAGTTTTTTTTAATTAAATTTGGCACGGATTACGTCCGTTCCAAAATCCCGAATGAATTTTGGTTAAATATTTGGCACGAACTTATCCGAGCCAACAAACAAGTAAAGATTTGGGCTACCCGGTTTATTCCGTGCCAATATCCGTGCCAAGTTAAACCCGAGCCAAACTTTTGGGGGAGTAATCGGTGTTGTTGTCTCTGAAATTCCGTGCCCAATGCCGAGCCAAGAGTTGGCGCGGATGATGTTTTCCATGCCAAAGCATTTGGCACGAGCCAGGTGCGTCGGATTTAATATTCGTGTCTAATCCGAGCCAAAAGCGATAGTCTAGGATTTTTTTGAAGCGATCTGTACCAAAATCCGACCCAATGACGACTTTTTTTGGTAGTGTAAATATAATATTATTATATATAATACTCATAATTATATATATATGAACACATGCGAGTGTATTTTACTACTCCTCTATATTGCACCGTAGATATACTTTCATTGCTCATTCATTATTAGTGTCTATACTATCAAAAATTACTTGTTGCCGATATTCTATATATTGCTTATAATTATATGAACAACGTCTATGTATTTTATTGACCCTCTATATTGCACTGTAGATATAATTTCACTGCTCGTTCATTTTACTGTCTATACTCCTACAAATTACGTACTGCCTCTATTTTACATAGTGTGTGTGTGTGTGTATATATATATATATTGCTCATAATTATATGAACATCCGTCTATGTATTTTACTGCCCGTCTATATTGCACCATTTATATACTTTCACTGCTCGTTCATTATTATTGGTTATACTCCTAAAAATTACTTACTGCCTATATTATATATAAATTGCTCATAATTATATTGCCCCTCTATATTGCATGATATATGTATTTTACTGCCCCTCTATAGTTATATTGCACTAGATCCTATACGTACTATTTAATGCTCAATATACTACAACACATGCATATGCAATTATTGCCCTTCATTGTCGTATTTTTAATTTGATGAGATTTTAATGCTAGAGAAATTAAGGCATGGATGGAGATGTAAATACTATAATTCCACCGGATGAAATAATGTATGGTCCATAGTTCCGTACGAATGACTCCACCAAAATAAAACCACATGTTTCCTTATTCAAAGAAATAGAACGGAGGAAGTCTTGACTTACAAAACTAACTGCTAAGGGTATTACGGATATGGCTCTGTATGCCTTGCACATACTAATTAGTCATATATAACATAGGGGAGATTTCTTGTCATATATTGAGAAGTTGTTTATCTTCTAGTCACATCTAGAGAATTTTCCCATTTTTAAAGCCTAATAATACCAAACTTGACAAAATTTTACTCATGTTCAAGGAATAAAAAACATGATAGTCTTATTTTGGAATTTCAAAACTTTTTTATTCCTGTTTAGGGAATTCACGCTTCAATTTATCCACATGCAAAACATATAGGTGCAAAATATAAGCAAACAAACTTCTACTAATTTTATTACTAAAAATGTTATGCTGGGGTACAACATATTATTCAATTATTAACAACCAAAAATAAAATCCAAAAGCACTACTAGTATATGAACTGAAATAATCCAAAAGTTGCAAAACCTAGACCCTAGAAACTGGCGCAATCAGTTGGTTTGAAGGTAACGGTTTGCTCTTCCAAATCATACCCAACAAGGTAGTCAATCTCCGACAAGTTTCCGAAGATGGATAGGTCAATGTTTGAATTCGTAATTATGGTCAAACAAGTCAACCCTGCCTCCACCTCCAAAAACGTGCCCTTTTGCGACAGCTTCACGTCGGCGCCGCCGCTGAAGTGGGCCACAATGTCCGGCACCTCAACAAGGTCTTGGGTCGGGTAGCAAAGCCCGAATATCCCTTCCGGGTCATCCACGGGTGTGGCCCGAATACTCCTCTTCAGTTCAGCGACCGAGCTGGCGAACAAGCCGGACGGAATCATGGTCAAAGTCGTCCCAGAGTCAATGATGATGTTTGGTTCGGGTGTTGCTTTGGGGCCCAGCTTGGCTGACCGACCGCCGACGTTGGACGTTGACTTCACGGACTTCTTGACGTGGAACTTTTTCCCGCCAACGCTGAGGCTTTCCAAAGAGAGCCAGTAGAACGAGGGTTGGGTAGGGTATTTGATAATCGGTGTTTTAACGGCGTTAGGGCCTTGAACTTTAGCTTCGGAGCCGAAGAGGATGTGGCTTTTGGATTCTGGTTCGGAAGAGAGGCAATAAGCGAATTTCCCCTGGATTTGTTGGTCCAGTTGCTGGATTATGGAGACTGGGGAGTTGCCCAAACCCACAATGCCTGATGTTCCTGTATATAAAAATATATAATAAAAAGGTATGAATTTATTTACAATAATAGCAAATTAATTGAATAAAGATTGCACAATATATATGAATAAACTAGTGTTCTTCTATTATTATGCTAATTCAAATTGGGCTAAATGAGTCCATATATACTTAGAACGTACATGTAAAAGTAATTAACATTTTTTATTGAGTGATATTCAAGAAAGGAAATTAATTAATATAATGCTCCGTCCAATTAAGTAAAGGAAATACTACTTCTCGATTCCTATTAAAGATTTTTTCTTAAATATGAATAAGACTTGGTGAGTATATAAAGTCTACAAATAAAACTGCTATCATTTATTTTCTTAAAATAGGATCAAATAAATCATTGTTTTATTAATAAAAAACATCTCTATTTTAATTTGTGTGTTTGAATTTAGACATGTTATATTCTTAGTTCGAGTAATAAAGTCTTTTAGTTTGTTGCAAAGTAATATGCTTAAAAATCAATAAGAAGAATTGTAAAGGATACATTTAAAACGAAAACTATAGAAGATTTAATTAACGGTCAACTAATTAATGTTTCACTCAGCCATATATATATAGTAAGTATTATTGTGAATCCTCATTACTTTTATTTAGAAATAATTCCAAATATATGATCAAAATGAAAGTAATGAGCTTACTCAAAAAAATTTAAAGATTTTAATCGTATAAAATGTTAGTCTGATTATAAAACTTACTCAAAATAATTTATAATGCATACACATTTTTTTCATATATTTTTTATGAGTATTATTTTAGGAGAAACCACTTTTATTATGCTCAAATATACGGATTATCTTTTCTTGATTAAGAGCTGCGCTAGAAAGGAAGATAATTATATGTTTGTCATATCTTTAATGATAATTAAAATTGGTACGTATTATTGTAATTTGAAAAATAACAAGAATTAGAATGTTTAATGAGTGTTATACCATTTGAGAATGTGCCTTTGTTTTGGTGGCCGCAACCGAAAACGACGTTGTCGAAGGAGGAGTCGCCCATGGTGAGAGTATCAATTGCTACGTCGCCGAAAGTTTGGGACCGGTCACCGTACGCCACCTTGTACTGGCACGTGTTGTCGTCGGAGCAGCCGGGAAAGTCAATGAGAGAGCATTGACTCGAGCCGCATGCGGTGGTGTGATACGTTTTGCTGTTCTTAGGGTCAAACAAGGGCAAGACTTGCGGGAAGCAGTCTGTGCATGGCTCGCATTGCGTCCACGTCACCACACTGCCCGTGTCGGCGATGCCGTACGTCTCGAACCGCGGGTTCCCGATGGAGTACTGCATCACGTACCCTCCTCCCGCCACTTTTATATCGGTCTCGAACTTCGACGACTCTCCGGGGCGGCCGCTGTGGATAGAGGCGGCGCGTGAGAGCGCGTGCTTGTATGCTTCTCGCACCCAACCATGCTTTGTTTTGGAGACGTCGCGGAGAGGGTTGGCGGGGGAGTGGGGGTGGATTAGCTCCATTTTGAAGCCATTGATCATCTCAGCAGAGAGTAAAGAAAAGAGGGAAAACACTATCAAGAATGCGTTTAGATATGTGTGTTTAGAGGCAGCCATTGTTATTATTGATGAAGGAAGGATGAAGTGTTAAAGAAGTTGATTGGATGATGAAGTTTGCCCTCAAAATGCTCCCTTTTATATCAATGTTTTCATGCAATCTTTGGAAAGTTTGTGAATGGAATTTTAATTTGGTCAGATTGGAATTTGCAAGAAATCATTTATATTTGACGATATGATTGACTTCATATAGTTTCCTTTTTGGGGTGCATATGATCAATATTGATTGATATCCACAAAACTAACTGAAATAAATTTAGAAGTTTCCATAGTACTTGATGGTTTAATGCACGGGGCTTTAATAATATCTATAATTAACCGTATTCTATTCCATATATACTCCGTATATGATATTATAGTCCTATATGACTATTATAAATGATTTTGTTAAGGAAATCCTATACGACAACTTCAAGTTATTATATTCTGTCAAAAAAAAAACTTCAAGTTATTATTCAAGAAAAATGCTAGAAATATAAGTTGGTATATCATGGGAACAGCTCATGGTGAGCATGCTCTCATAGCAAAAAAGACGTGTTACTGTTCATGCGCGTAAACATTAACTTCTTTTTTTGTTTATTACATTGTCTTAGTAGCAGAATAGTGTAACTCGCGTGTAAAGGAATGTAACTCACACTGATAAGAAGTGTAACTGCAAACAAGTCGAAATGTAACTTTCTAATACAGATTAAAAGAAATAAAACATTGATTTTAATGAAAAATAGGAGTCTAATTGCTCAATTACTTTACCTAAATAGTTACTCCATAATATGTTTTGTTTTTAATATTAAGGCCAAAAAATGTTTTTTATTTTATTTTTCATTTTTGCCGAAAAATCTTTTTTTTTCGCAAAAAAAAATCATTTTCTTTTTGCAAAAAAAGTGATTTTTGTTTCAATAGTAGGAGTTTATTTTGTGATATAACTTGTGTTATGAAAAATGTAACTCGCAATGATGGAAAATCTAATTTAGGTGTATACAAAATGTATCTTGTTGAGGCAAAGCCAAATGTAACTGGCACATAGAAAGATGTAACTCACACATAAGAAGGTGTAACTCCCAAATAGACTATCAAATGTAACTCCAAAAATTTTCTATCTATAAACACAACTCACACATATGAAAAATTTAATTTCATGTTTTATCAAATTTAAATTGAAATAAACAAATTAAATATCTTGAAAACACTAAATACACATAAAAGAGACAAGAAATATATCTTTTTTTTGCAAAGAGATAAAGAAATACATTATAGAAAAAGTGTATGAATATGAAAAATATTTTACCAAAAAGTGTATAATGTAAGAAATAGTACACAAAACATATATTCAGTAGTAATTTCAGTTGAAGAAAACAAGTAAAGAGTTATGTATTTCAGTAGTAAAAAATATTACAGAAATAAAATTATTTTATTTAGATTAATAAACTTTTTGTTATGTATTGATAAAAAATAGATTCAATTATAATTTAAGTTGAAGATAAACAAAAAAATAAATTGAAATTAAATGTTTAGTATTTTAATTTGATGGGAGAGGAGAAGAGTTGAAGAAAAGAAAATAAAGAAAGAAAAGCAAAAGAAAAAGGAATAACAAAACTATAGGGAATATAAGAAAGCAATGTACGTAATTATCTAAAGTGGGTTCGGCACACCATGCGGAAGGTGGACCGATCCCATGGTATAATTTGCGTAGAAATATGATTAAAAGGAGTGACGATTTCTAAAATATATATAACTAAACAAATTTTTATGTCTAAACTAATGGTGTTTTGCATATATGATATATATACACAGTGTTTGTTTTGGTGCTACTTTTTCTCCCTCCAATTTAATTATTATTACTCATATATGAACATGTTGTTTAAGTTTGCTAATATTAGAAATCTATAAATGTTTTAGTCTTGGATAAATTTTTCTTACGGAGTATTATGGGAGTGTTTTCATATATGAACATGTTGTTTAAGTTTGCTAATATTAGAAATCTATAAATGTTTTAGTCTTGGATAAATTTTTCTTACGGAGTATTATGGGAGTGTTTGGCAATTGGTTGTTGGCTGTTAGCTGATAGCATTTTCTGTTGGCTGATAGACGATAGCTGATTTAATTGGCTGTTTTAGTCAGCTGATAGTATTAGCGGTTTGTAAAATGATGTTTGGTTAAATGGCTGTTTAAAGTCAGCTGAAAATTTATAAAATGACCTTTAAGGGCATATTTTTTGTGTTGGTTGCGTAGCGTGTTGCACTTTTTTAATATGATACAAAATTATAAATATTATAAATATTTAAATTATAATTTTACCTAATATTGTCATTGATGTTATTATTATGTACGATTACTTAGACCACTATTATTTACTACTTATTAAAAAATAAAAATGATAATTGCAAACAACAATTCTTTTAAAGTTTTCACGTTTTTCTAAATTTATTAATAAATTATCTTAACTTAAGTTTGTCATAAATTAAGTTATGTTAAGAATTGTTGTCTAGCAAAAAAGAATCGTATTTAACTTCAATCTGCTAGTTACCTAATAGTCTAGTACGTACGTAAGAAAATCCAGGAGCAAGAAGTACAGGGCTATGGAGTATTTTAGGGGAGAAAAATAAATGGGTAGATTAGGAATATTGGGGAAAGGCCAAACGTAAAAGCTATGTTTCTTTGCTTTTTCAATTTTAGCTGTTTGGGACAAAAAGTCAAATGAAAAGGCCATTTAACCAAACACGTACACTATTAGCTCATTAATTTAGTCAAAAAGCCAACTAATGGTCAAAACAGCAAAAAATTGGAAATCGCAGAACATTAATTGTAGGGAAAACTGTCAAATAGTTCCTCGAACTTTCATTAAAAAGTCAATTAAGTCCTTCTATAGGAGACTCTGTCCGGTCGTCGCGATTTGGGGCGGTTCCCGGTGGAATTTTTTGATGAAATTTTTTGAGCATATTATTCATCAAGTCTAGTTTACTCATACCAAATTTTAGCTAAAAATTTAATCGGGAGCGCATTCAAATTAATTCGAGAACGACAAAATGCGCAGTTATCTTCAAGAATTGATTTGAATGTGTTCCCGATTGAATTTTTAGCTGAAATTTGGTATGAGTAAACTAGACTTGGTGAATAAGATGCTCAAAAAATTTCATCAAACAATTCAACCGGGAACTGCCCCAAATCGTGACGACCGGACAGAACCTCCTATAGAAGGACTTAATTGACCTTTTTATGAAAGTTCGAGGATCTATTTGATAGTTTTCCCTTAATTGTATTGAGTAATTAACTTAAACATAAATGAATGATAAAATAATGCTTTGGACAAATCAAATGTATTATAGGTATGTCTGAATACTCAAGATGTATGTGATTGGACTGAATTTTTTTGGTCTGATATGTTTAACTCTGATCTGATCTGATAGATTTTTTGTCTATGCGTATTTTATACTACCTCCGTCCCACTAACATTGGGACATGAGGGGGTGTCACTTTAATTAAGAAAAATTAGTTTATTTTGTTGATATTGAAGATGTTTTTACTTGGATTGAAATTTGCTGGTCTGGTCTGTTTTAGTTTGGTCTTGTCTGGTCTGATAAATGTCTGGTCTCTCTGTATTTTATAATTACAGAAGTCTGATCTTGTCTGTTTAAGTCTGGCCTGGTCTGGTCTGAGACTAAAAACAGTCCAAGTAAAAACATTTTGAATTGATAAAGTAAGGATAAAGTAAGAATGATTTAGGAAACAAAATGATTTAGAACCACAAAAAATAGACCAAATTTGGTATGAAACAATATTAGTGGAACAAACTGAAAAATAAAGATGAGACAATCTTAGCGGGATGGAGAGATTAATTAAACTATCAAAGTTTGATCTAGTCTATCCAAATCTGGTCTAATCTAGTTTGATTTGTTTAAGTCTTTTGTGATCTAATCTTCTGATCTGATCTAGAACTGAAATCAGTGTAAGTAAAAATATTCTCACTTATTTGATGGATACCGTGCGTAACATTCACCATTTAAGTCTATCATATTTGATGGATATGATATGATATAGTCCGCTTCAGCCTCTTCTAATCTGGTATGATAAATGTGTGGTGTGTGTGAATTTAATTATTGTCTTAGTCTTACCTGATCTGATCAGTTTTATTCTTTTGAAGTTCGGTCTATACTGGCCTGTTTAGATCTGGTCTAATATGATGTTCAAAGTAGTCTAATTAAAAAAAGTTGCACAGACATAATTGATTTTATCTTCTAATAGATAACCACAAATAAAATCAGTCGAAATTGAGCCGACAAACCTTATACTCCCTCCGCTCCCAACAATACTTCCCACTTTCCTTTTTGGGTTGTTCCCAAAAATACTTCCCACTTTCCCATTTTGAACAATTTGTGTGGCTCACATTCATTTTACCTTTTTTTTACACAACCACAACCATACATTTCCACTTTATTTCACTTTCTTAATAAACGTGCCAAGTCAAACCGGGAAGAATTTTTAGGAACGGAGGGAGTATAACGTATATAATTTTTGTATAAAAAATATTTATGAAGCTTAAAACATTAATTAGTTCTTACGTTATTATAATTGTGTGTTATCGTACGTTTTTATTGAAGTTCGAAATTCAGATTAGTGAGCACAGTGAAATTATTAATATACTGAAATTGTTTTTGTACAATCTCTAAAATTGAGATTAGTGAAGTTAAAATTCAGTTTTTCTAATATGTATGGTTGGGAAATACTGAGAAGTGACTTTGACATTTTTAAAACGGAGATTTACCTTAATAGGACTAAAACTCATTTTTTTTCAAAAATAGAACAAGTACTTTTAACTTCTTGAAATAGGGTTTCTTATTTGTGATTGGATAAAAATACATTTATAGGGTTAGAGCTGCTTCCCCAGGTCGTCGGAACACTACCTGCCGCCGGTTGCCCCCGCCAACCACTGTCCACCAGACCGCTGAAAAGTCCTCCACCGAGTTGCCAGAAATCCGCCGCGACCACCGAAGTTTGTTGTCACCATCACGGACTGATCTTGCCACCAATGGACTTCTTTGGTT